AAAAAGAAAAAAAATTTAAAAAAAAAAAGCAATGAGCTGACTTTTGACTTGAGATCTGATGGTAATGTGGGGGAAGAGCAAATATCAGAATGTTAGAACAATTAGATGTAAATGGATTATAAGATTACCACATATATTTAATTCCATGCCTAACAAATGTTTGAGGGATGTAGATGATCAAACTGTCAGGCCTGGACCAAGGTCAAAGGGAGAATAAAGGATTCAAGTAGAACAGCCTCAATTACCATGGAGTGCCCCACCCTTCCCTTTCTAGAAGACCACCCACCAAGCTAAACCAGAATGGAATGTTCCCCCCTTAAAGAAAACCTGACCTAATCCACTTTCAGGTGCGGTATTTCTGTGATCTCTGCCTGTTACTCTCTCTGCAGACCAAGGCATCCCGCCTGGGAGACCCCTTAATAAAGCTTCTTTAGCTTCCTTTCTTTCTCTGGTCCCTTTCTCGAGTCTTTGGCCTTACATCCAGTGCAAAGACCTAACACAAACAAAAGGATAAAGTTTAAAAATCTAAAACACAAAACGTGTTTCAGCTTAAAACACTGAACCTCTGAGACACCACATCCTCTGAGCTGAAGTTCTGAAGGCTGAAACACTTTGCTTTTCAGGGAGGGCATGCTTCTCAGTGACACTTTTGCGTATTTCTAGGTTGATAATGGAAAAGAATCACGAAGATGCAGAGGGCAAGAAGACCAAAGATGGTTTCTTCCAGAAAATAGAGTCAATGCCATTCAACCAATTCTCTACTCAAATGCTAGTAGTCTGGACAAAATTTGACCACAGGAATTTCAGGATTGCAAAGAAGCAGTGATTTTATGCTGTTTATATCCCACACTGAGCTCTGGGGATAGCTGAGGATGAGACACAATTTATTTCTTCCTTTACTGATCCTTATCATGAGGTCAATGGATAGTCAATCAAATATACTGTCTGCAGCAATCGGAAACACAGAAAGTGTGTGGCAGGGTTGAATCCTTTCACCATACTTACACCTGTATGTTGAGCAAATAATTCACGAAGCTGGACTATATGAAGAAGACTCACCAACAGTCTCCATAATGAAGATGACCCTACTTGGCTTGCAAAAACTAAAGAGTTGAAGCTCTTAATGAAGAGCCTTCAACAGCCTTTAACAGGAATTACACCTCAACATCAAGGAAACATCTTCACCCCTGGACTAGCAGGTAACATCATGACAGAAAGACCAATGTTGTCAAGTATTTCATTCTACCTGGATCCACAATAGATAGATAGATAGCTGCAGTCAGGAAACCACAAGATATATTGCATCAGGCAAATCAGTCCTCAAAACCCTCTTCTCAAGTGCTAAAGAGGAAGAAAGGTGTGCCTGAATCCAAGCATGGTATTTTCAATTACTTCCAAGGTGGACAATAAGGAAGATTAAGAATTAATAATTGATGCCTTTGAATTATGGTGTTGGCAGAGTACTGAACACCCCATAAACTGAAAAAAGAAAAGCAAATCTGTCTTGGAGGAAATGCAACCAGGGTGCTCCTTGGAAGCAAGGATGGTGAGACCTCCTCTTTGAGCATGTTGTCAGGAGAGTTCAGTCCGTGGGGAAAGACACCACGCTGGGAAAGGTAGAGGGTCTGTGAATGAGAGGAAGCTCCTCAACAAGATGGACTGACACAGTGTAACAATGAGCTTGAACATGAGATTGTGGTGATGGTGCAGGACAGGGCAGTGTCCCAATGTTATGAATTGTAGTCAGTGGCACCTAACAACAACACTGATCCTCAAATCAGCAAAAGTCCTATCTAAGCTACTGTGCGTCATCTGGAGAGCTTGAATTTTAGACTTGTTGCAATAGAATGGGATTTTGAGGCTCTGGGTGTTACATATACAGAGGGCAGCACAAAGATATTTAATGGCAGAAACTGTTGTTGTTATGTGCCTTCAAATCGCTTGTGACTCATAGCAACCCTATGTACAACAGCGCTATACCCTGCTCTATCCTGTGCCAATCTTACTGTTTCCAACACACCTACCCCCATCACCCCAGTCACCAAGTCAATCCATCTCATCAAGGGTCTTACTCTCTTGCACTGTCTCTTCACCCTGCCAAGCATGACATCCTTTAACAAGGTCTGGTCCCTAGGGAGCTCTGGTGGCCTAATGGCAAGAAGCTGCACTGCAATCCGAAAGGCATAGTTTCAATCCACCAGATGCACTGCTGGAGAAAAAGGGACAATTTCCTCCTGTGCCAGTCGGATCCGATTCAACAGTACACAACAAGGAAAAAAAAAGCCAAAGACTGGCCCTTGCAAAATGTTCAAAGTATGTCAGATGGAACTTCAGAATCCTTGCCTCCAAGAAGCAGCCTGGTTTAACCCTCTCTAGGACGAATCTGTTTGTTCTCCTCGCTGTCCATGGTATATTCAACACTCTTCTCCAGCACCACAGCTCAAAGGCATCAATTCTATTTCAGCAACTGTTAGTATTAACTAAATAGCCATTGCTTGGAATATACCCCAAGAAAAGGAGAGCTGAGGCTCAAACGGAAACTTGTAAACCAATGTTCATAGCATTATCCACCATCACAAGAACATGGAAGCAGCCCAGATGTCCAACCACAAACGAATGGACTGAGAAGTTGTGGTACAATGGAAAACTACGTAGCACGCAGGAGCAAAGATTTTGTAAATTACTACCTAACTTGGGAGGGTCTGGAGAGCATTATGCTAAGTGAACTAACTCAGTCCCACAAGGACAAATACTGTATAAAACCGTCATTGTAGAAAGAGTATGAGGATCCAAGGTGGGGGAGGAGGATGGGAATATGGGAGTGTGGATGGGTTGGGTTAATCAAAGGGTTGCACAGTTTGATGGGGTGGTGGTAAGGAAATGGGAGGGATCTTTTGTGAAAACAATGTATTCAAACTTTGTAAATAGATCAGAAGAAAAAAAAAACTCCAGAAAATTCTAACTGCATAACAACAGCTTTTTTCTAAATTTTATTTTGTTGTAGCTGAATCTATACATAGCAAAACATAGACCAATTCAGCAGTTTCTATATGTACAATATGGTGACAGTGATTACATTAACTGTGGGGTCATTCTCATTCTCCTTTTCTGAGTTGTTCCTTCCTTATTAATGTAAACTAATTGTCCCTTCAGATTAATAATCTTTCAACTGCTGCTGTCAATGTGATCTCACATAGTTAATTCTTGAGCATACTGCTCAAAGAAGACTTTATTAAAAACTACTACTCAATGCCAACAGAACTAATTTTCAATTAGAATGATATGTTACATTTTTAAGGCATAAAACTTAAAAGCATTAACAGACTTTCAAATCACTGATGGAAAAGTTATTGTCAAACTTTGGAAATATGGCCAAAAGCCAGAAGAAATGATAGTTTTGAAATAATGATCTTTCTTTGGAAGTAATGCTTTTTGTACACTCAGGTATGCTCAGGCTAGTTCCCTAAGTTCTTTACCTTGCGTAAAATAGTGTACCAATGAAAAAGGTGTAGTACTTTCCAATCACTTTAGGACTATTAGGGTCATAGGAACCCTGGTGGTATAGTGGATTATGTGTTGAGCTTCTAACCCAAAGGTTAGTGGTTCAAATCCACGAGCTGCTCTTTGGGAGAACTAAGAGGCAGTCTGTTCCCATTAAGATTTACAACCTTGGAAATTCAATGAAGGGTCACCATAAATTGAGGTCAACATGACGGTTGTGGATTTGGCTTTAGCGGCTGTTAAGGTCATACAAATGTTACACTTAAGTTAAAAAGAAAATAAATTTGTCTATCTCCCATTTTCAACCATAATTCCTATCTTACATTATTTCCCTTTTTTGTTTTAAACAAGAACACAGAAAATAGGCATTTAAGTTAATAATTAAAGAAAGAAGTTTAAGATCACTTGAGGAGAAAATGGAGAGAGAATAGAAATGAAACATGAGTGAAGTTTCAAAAACTTACTGGGAATAGTCTAGGTTTCGTGTCCACAATGGCATATGGTTTGACCTAGAATAAAAGTTAATGCTGTGTTAATTTCTTAAGGAAAAAAAAAATAGCTCTCCCAGATTTTTAACTTAAATCTCAAATTTTCACCTCATATCCCAGACTCATACATTCAACTGTTTACTCAACAATCTCTACTTGTCTAGCAAATTGACCTCTCACACCAGGCCCAACACTCAACTTCTCCCAGTACAAAGACTAAATACTTTGACTCCTCGGCAGATGTTTTGGCTACATTTTTAATCCAATTGCTTCTTACACCCTCTAGGACTGACCATCCTTGTTTAAACCTCTTACCATTGTTTCATCTGAACAACCACAAGTGCATCTAATAGTCTTACTGTTTCCACTCTTGTGTTTTTAGTGGAACTCAAACTCGGCTTTATTGCCATCAAGTCGGAACCAACTCATAGCAGACCCTCCAAAAGATTTCAGAGGCTGTAAATGACACAGGAAGGGACTGCTCATCTTTCACTCACAGAATAGCTGGTAGATTTGAACCACCTACCTTGGGATGGCAGCAAAATTCCTTACCCTCTAGGCCACCAGAGTTCTGTTTCTCTAGTCTATACACAGCAAGTAAAGGACAAAAGGAGTCACTCCTTTTCCATAACTCTTAAGAGAAAAAGCCAAGACTTATTATAATCTCTTAAGACACGGTAGAATCCAGCCCTAGGCTACCTCAGATTGGCTTCTATTCTTGCCTTCACTCGCTACACTGGCCCCAGCAGCTTCCTTACCATTAATCCAATCAGTCCCCAGGGCATTAATTTTGTTTTTTTGGTTTTCTTTTTAGAAAGTCTTAAGGATTTTATTGTCAAAACAAGAGATACAAGCATAACAGAAGAGGCAAATAAATTAACTGTTCTGGTCATCCAGACAGCAGAGTGTCTCTAAAAAATATGGAACACTTCAAGAATTTGCCTATCATCCTTATGCAGGGGCCATGCTAATCTTCTCTGTATTGCTCCAATTTTATTATACGTGCTGCCAAAGCGAGCACAGGGCTTTCGTTCTTAATGATTTCTCTACATAACTTGGTCTTCCCCTGAAATTTGCTTTCCCATATCCTCATTTTATTAATGTCCCCACTGAAAAATCACCTCCTCATCAATCTCTTTCTCTCACTGCTTTCAAGCTCGAACCTACTGATATCTGACCACCAGTTTTCAGAGGCTATAAATCACATACGAGGGGACTGCCCACCTTTCTCCCTCAGAGAAGCAGTGGATTCAAACCATTTGCCATTAGGTACACAGTGCAACTCTCACCCACTATTGGTGGTGGTGTTCTATACCACTGAGTGGAAACCAACTCATAGCTGACCCTTCTGTGGGTTTTCAGAGGCAGTAAATTGCACTGGAGAAGAATGCCCATCTTACCCACTAGGTCGCCAGAATTCCCTTACCTCTTTACAGAATTCTCTAATAGTAGCTCCTGTCATTCTTGATGGAGTCTCTGGGTGGCACAAATGCTCAGCTACTAAATGAAAGGTTGGTAGTTCAAATTCACACACAGATACACTGGGGGTAACAAAGGCCTGAAGATCCACTTACTAACAAGCACAACCACTGAGAAGTCTCTGAAGTTCAGTCTTCTAACACATCAAAGGTACCAAGCATCAAAGTCTCCTTGATGGCAACTGGTTATTTTGGTATTCCTATGAAAAACTATAATTTTATACCAATACCTCCATTTCCATTCTAACACCCTAGTTTTCGTTTTTTTCCACATGTGTAACTCTTCTCTTAGACAGTGAAAATCCTAACCCCGTTATCATCTATATATTAGATCAAAATCTACTTGATGGTAAGTGGTTATTTTGATATTTATTTATAAGAAAAAGACCTCTAATTTTACACCCTTCTCTCCAATTCCATTCCAGCACCAGTGTCCCTCTCATCCTATGTGTAACTCCCTTTTCTGGTACTGAGACTCCCAATCCTATATGAACCAATCTTCTATTGCCACCACCACACCCTTGTATGAAAACCTTTCTCATTTCACTCAGGTTTTGATATCTAACTCTGGGATGCCCCCTCATCCCTACCTTCGGACGCCCTCCTCCTATGTAGGATGTAGGCTCCAACAATCCTACATTAGGGCACGTCCCTCTTAGCCTCCCAAACAAGTGTGCTTTCTCCCAATAGCTAAGGGCTTGACACCAGCCACTAGAATGCTTTTTTTCACTGCAGGGATCCTAAAGCTCCATGCTGGACAGCTACCACTGTCATTTCCACCCCAGAACGGATGCTCTTTTTGCCTAAAATGGAATCCAACACTCAGGACCAGAATGTGCTATCCTTAGTTTTAAAAATATTAAATCGGCCCTTTTTAGATCTTTGTATAAAAAACCTTCAAGCTTTTGGAAACCCTGGCTTCTAAAGAAAGTTGTGAAAATCAACAAGAATGATCTAGGCAGAATTTTCTTTTATATCAAAACTATGCTCCACAGGGTGGGCTGCCCTCGACCCCCGGCTCGGGGCGAGCCGTCGCGGCCCTCTGCCCGGGGCGGGCTGCCCTCGGCCCCCGGCTCAGGGCGAGCCGTCGCGGCCCTCAGGGTGAGCTCCTCAGTCCCCAGATTGTGCCATTGTCCCCAGATTGATCCCTGAGTGGGGAAAGAGGAAAAAAAAAAGAATGCCTAGGGTATCCAATGTTACTTAGGCCACCTTCTGCCACCCTCCCCCCCAGTAAACCTGAAAGCAACACCCTCAAAGCCCTTCTATTTGTAACTCACAAGTTTGTTCTCTCTAGGTTTGCTCCCTTTCCTATAGGTAACCTTAACTCTGAGTTTTACTCCAGAATTGTCCCTGAACCCAGTGCCAGTGACAAAAAGGAAATACAACTGACAGCTAAGGAAGCAAAGGAGGATGGAGCCTCTGGGTTCAACCAGCCATCCCCACTGGACCCACCTGGGAAAACACTCTGCAGTCCAGAGGGGAGCAAATGACCGGAAAATATCTTCTAACAGAGCAAGAAGGCAAGCAGCTTTAACCCAAGACCACCAGTAAGGTGATAAAGTGTCCTCTTCCCCCTTTACATCTACACCCCTGTTCAGCACGAAGAAGCCAGAGAGTTGGCATCCAATTCCCAAATCAATAAGACAGTTGGTTTAATTACCATTGGAAAATGCTTGTCATTCCTCTGTAGTATCTGGTCCCCTCTGGACCCTCATCATTTCCTTCACCTGCTCCCCCCACCGACCAAGCTGTGCAGCTCTGTAACTGCATCCTGGCCCATCCTCACCCTTCTGCCCCCAACCCTCACCTCCTTGTACCCCCAATATGTTTTTCCCAATAAAAAAAATAAAAAAAAAAACACACACAAAAAACTATGCTCCAAAAAGGAACAGTAATATTGTCCTCGCTACCAGACCTTGAGTTTGTTGTCAGTTAGGTGTCATCAAGCCAATTCCGACTCACAGTGGCCCCTTGAACAAACAGCAGGGCAAAATCCCGCCTGATCCTGCGCCATCCTAAGTCTCAAAAACATCCAGACACATTCTGGTCATTTAAACACTATTTCGAAGGGAAATGTGTTTCAACTAGCATGAATATTCATTTACTGAACAATCATGGTTACTTTTCATTTATTCATTTTGCTAAAAGGATTCAAAGTAGTTTAAAACCATTTTATGAATGAGGTCTCATTTTTACTGCAAAAAAGGAGGTTCAGGGATTCCCACATAAAAAAGTAAAACATACTTACATTCACATGATATTTGAGATAATAATGAATAATCCATGCAGGTATAAGTACATGGACAAAAGCAAAGGTACTGTGTCGGTATACCTTATACACCTGAGGGAGAAAGCATAAAATAAAGAATTATCCCAATTTTAAGTTTGCAGGAGGAGGAAAAGTTAGTGGCAGCAAGAAAAGTATCAATGATAAAATATCATGCTATTTTACAAATTTCTAAATGCCACCTAAGTCCTTGTAATCCATGGCAAGCTTCAACCACTTGAATATTTCTACCAATGGTAGGGCCTGCTAGGGGATACTTACAGAGCACAGACTTAGAAATACATAGCATTTTGCAGTACAATAGAGTAAGACATTTACAGATACATGTTTCTAAAAGTAGCCGTTTTGTGAGATGTTGACTCAACCATTGGCTGTCAAAAATCAACAAGCAATGCCAGCAACACCAATGGGGGGCGGGCATTGCATAAAAAGAAAATTCAAGTGAGTTTCAAAGTGAGCTCCTTCAAATCTCCAGTTCCAGGAGTGGTTTAACCACTGAATTTCATAGTTCTCTCAATTTAAAATGAGTTTCTTCCTTGGGGGATTAAAGAATGAAATGAAGCAATTGTGTGTAAAACCCTCAGTTAAGTGCCAGGCACATAGTAAGCACCCAACATTTGCTTATTAGTACAACTATTATTACCAACCAAAGTTCACTCTGAATTACCATGTAACTGAAGGCAATTGAGGGACTGTGTTCATCATCCATAACTGATGTGATTTCATGAACAGACCTCAAAAAAAGTCAAGACTCTGCCAGTAAAGAATCCTGAAACAAATTAATTTCTTTTGAGCAAATCCCAGGAATGTAATGTTTTTAAGGAAACAGTGTGTTGGAAGTGCAAAGTGAGAATTTAGAAAAGGTTGCCCTTTAATAAAACTAAGAATATCAAGTGGACACTGTCCTTTTTCATAATCACAATGGACTGAACCATGTGTAATGTCGTTTTCTATAACCCTAATCGTTAAATGTTAGACAAATGCCTTCATATAGTGAAATGATAGAATTTTAAATAAAGAATCCTTGGCAATCATTCTAAAGAGAAGACGTCTATGGTAGAAAGAGAATCAAAAGGACACTGTCTTGTCAAAACAAAGATTCCTCATCATACTTGAGGGTACCAATGGATGACTCCCAAAAGACATCCGTGCCCCAGGGTGTTCTGACTTCTCGTCCAGCACTCTCCAGTCCCTACTAAGCTATATCTTATTCACCTTTGGGGGGACACAAGTGGCAGTTGCAGTGCACTGAGGTCAGCCCCTGGGGTGACTTCCCGAGTGGATGTCCGTCCGGTGACTGGGCTTTGGAATGCAGGGGAGGGTATGTATCGGGGGGCGGGGGAGGAGACCTGTCACTCACTGCGTTCCTCCAGGGGGTTGGGTTCTGCAAAAACTTATTCCAGAACTCTTCCAGAGGCCATAACCTCCTGGGGGGCATCACTGGCTCCCGAGGGCTCAGCTCCTGATCCTTCAGCCATCGCCTCCTCAGCTCTCGCAGCTGCTGCAGCCGCAGTTTCTCGTCTGGCGTGTACCCCGGCATGTCCCCACCGGTACCGATGCAAAAGGATAGCCCGTCCCTGACCCTGCAGCAGGTCCCGCATGCGCGCTCCCTACGCACAAAGCGACCTTGGGAGGACGCCTGGGAGAGGCGCGCGGTTTTTACGTCACACCTTGATTCTGGCTCTGAGACTGCGCCAAAGCTCTCCCTCCCACACCCGCGCGCTGGAGGAGTGGATTTGGGCATGCGCGGCAGCTTCTTCCTCGCCTTTGCGGTTTTAGAGTTCCGCTCTGGAGGGATGGGGTTTGTTTTCTGTATCGGTGAAAGGGGAAGTAATCGATAGTAGACAGTAAGACAGAACTTATTATGTTATGTGCCTTCGAGTAGCTTGCGACTCATCGTGACCCTATGTACAACAGCCCTAAACTCCGCTCTGTCCTGTGCCAATCGCACTGTCTCTGACACTCCCATCCCAATTATCCCAGTCACTCAATCAATC